AAGACTGGTCGAGGGGCTCCAGGGGGATTTGATTTCCAAAAGCACTCTCTCAAACTAAACTGAAAAACCAGCTAGCTGCCACTACTACCTTTAAACTCCTATTTGGAACAGTGTAGGTCTATTTTTCAACACTGCTGAAACGAAACAGCAATAATGCAAGAGTATAATACAGATTATAATAACAAAACAACAGACCGATTTTTCTCTAACCACATCTATGGTCAAGAATCACCACCAACTAATTTAGAGAGGAAAATAACAATGACTTTGGAAACATTTTCAGAAGACTGATCCTTTTTCACTCATCTAAACAAATCCTTAAAGGGTGAAGAATTGTGCCTTACTACAGCACACGCAATAAACTTTTAATTAAGTTTCCTGTCCTCATATTGTTAAATAGAATGAAACCGTAAAGGTGAGGAAGGCTGCAGGATACAGGAAACAATTTAGCCACTATTTTGCCAAGTGCAAATTCAAACACACAGTAACACCTCTGACTACAAAATCTAGCACCTAATAAATGTAATATTTGTTTTCTCCCTCTACCCATCTCATCTTCCCCACATAACACAGAAGGCCTCAGTAACACTGATCCTGACCACACACCTATATTCCAGCATGCTTGGTGCTTTATGTCCAATCCTTACCCTAAGTACAATCCTCTTAAATATCTGAGAGTTACAGCAGCAGGCTGGGGAAGATGAACTTCAGGGGAGTACAGAGGATTCCAGTCCTGTTCCTGCACCTGACTTCTGAGCTCCAGCCCTCTCTGTCAGATCCCAGCTGAAGGCTCAAGAGGAATTTCTTGAGTGGTCTATGCCTGGTTCCACATCCATGAAATGGTGGTATTAGAGGTAGTTACTAGTTCTGTATGAATTCTGTCTAACAAACAGAAACTATCAATCGATGTCAGCCAATTCTAATACTCAGGTTTAGGTTTTTCCCTTTGTAGAAGTATTTTCTAAACTGTGGGTCACAATTCAGAAATGTGTCCAAAATGTCATGAAATCAACTTAAGAGGGTCACAACCGACACTCTCAGAAAATTAAACAGAATAGAACATTACACTTAAACGTTAATCCAGTCATATTTTAGATGATTCAAAAATTTTCTCTTTGGCATAAATGGTAACATTAAGTGGATCTTTCTCTATACATGCATGTATCTGTTTAAGGATCAGGCACCAGTTGAAAGGATATTTCTGTGTCACCATCAAAAACTCAAAAAACATTGGTTTATAAGATGGAAATAGTGAGGAGTTGGGAAAGAATGAGAGGTGCAGTCAACCTCTTTTTAAAAAGCTGACGCATGAAGCAAAAGAAAGACCTCCCAAATGGTCAGTCAGGGTAACACAGCAGGTTCCCTGAACACCTGAAACCACTACGGCAAGGCTGCTACTAGCATTTCAGTAATAGGAGCTTAGCAAAACAGAGCAAACTGCAAAACTGGGAGTAGAGATGTTATCTTGATGCTAGGCAAGATTGAAAAAAATTGGTATGACTCATCTAATAAATCATCTTACAATACTTGTTGGAGTAGACATCATGCCAGATTTAAAATGCTCTTAAGAAACTGTCAGGATTTGGAAGAGATACGAAAATGTCTTAAAACAGAAATGTTCACATATGGATACACATTTAACCTTATGGTTCCACTACAACAAAATTCCTATCTAAAAAAAATGTAATTATCTGTACAAGCTTTCCCATGAGAATATGAAATGAAAAAGAACTATGAGCATATATTTTAGAATCTAATAAAAACATTTATTCAAGTGTCCAAAAGGCTGTACAAGTGTTACTCAACAGTGTCACCCTTAAAGTAGGTAAGTGGGATCACACTTTGGGTTCCACACCTACCACAGCCTTCCCTTCTGGAAGATTTTCCAGGACCACGTAGATCAACTGACCTAGAACCAGGGTCCTTCCACCTGGTTATGAGCATGCTCTATATCCCCAGAATTCCTTCATCAGGTACCAAACAGCCTCTAAGACATGAACACTATCCTCTCAACCAGAGGGATACAGTCAAAGAGTGTAGAAAATATGTACAAAGATTTGCTATGGCAAGTGGACACAATAGCTTCCAACAGGTGGGAATGTACCAGGCATGGGAACCAAAGGGAAAACACTTGTCCCAGGGGCAGATTCTCCCAACGGCCTTTCAGCTCAGAGCTCTGAGAATGTGGAGAGCTCAAAACTCAAACCTAACCTTCAAGGTCACTTGAAGATACAGTTATGAAGATAGGTGAATTGAACAAAATTATATAAATGCAGTGAGCTTATTCCATTAAGTTTGGAGAACTGAGACATATTGTTATATCCCTTTGTTGTCTTGCAAAGGACCCTGCAGTGTTAAAGCCAGGCCTGCTAGTTACATAGTGGTCTCAGAGTCACGCTGCCTGAGTTTATATCCCTCTTATGACTCACTTCTCAGCTATGCAAGCCTGGAAAAGTCTCTTGTACCTCTCCAAAACTAAGTCTAAAACATTTTTGTGTAAAACAAAATAAAATAAATAAATTCACCTCTTGTGAACACTAAATGAACTAGTGCATCAAAGTGCCAAGAACTGCACCTGACACATAGTCCTGATGTTGTTTAATGTATTTCTCCAGACAAAACTGACCGGCAATCTAAACTGCTAGATAAAACCACAGCCAGGTCTATATATTTCTTCTTTCTCATTCCTTTCTAAGTTTAAATATCTTCCTTTAGAGAACTCCTTAAAAAAAGTTATTTTCTATTCTGAAAGGTCACGTCATTTAACTGCTGACATGTCTGGTACAAGTTCTTCTGAAACTTAAGTATGGATTCACCTTGTACCCCAACTCAGCAGATAACTCAGGCCTTTGGTGAGTGTGAACTCTGAAGTCTCCAAATTGGCCTTTTGTGTCAATTTCATGCAATAAGCATTTGAAAATACTACCAATTTAAAATATGAAAGGATATTTCTTACTCTTCATGTTCATGTGGTTTAGAGCTATAAACCAGGGATAGAGCCTTCTCGATTCACAAACCAGAGACTGAAGTACTCAAGGTCATTGGCAAAGAAAGGTAACCAAAAGAGAGAAGTAACACCAAAGTACTGCCCCACCAGTGAAGAAATAGATGGGAAGAAAGAATCTTCGCTTGGCTGTTTATGAGCATCCACTTTTCTTCATTATCATTGAGGAGTACGAATAATTTAGAAACTGCAAACTGCCACCAATCCTCTCAATGATCTCTCTCCCTTTGGTCTTCAATAGCTGAAACAGCAACTTGAAGAGAAATTCTGGCCACCTTCCTAGGCATATAGAGCATCTGTATTATTTCACCACAAACATCTAGCTATTTGCTATGAATTAAAGGTATAAAATCTGAGGGAAAAAAGTACCAGGAAAAGATTCAAGATCATATACATATAAGGATCAGTATGTTCAATGCGGTGATCACCTAAACTTACATTTTCCTCCAGGTATTCTGAAAATTTTTAAGAAACTCTTTCTAGCTTCCTAAGCTACATCTAATGAAGCATTGTTAATTTCAACAGTAGATTTTCTACCAACTACAATCTCCAACTCCAAAATGGAATATAAAGCCAAGTAGGAAATAAATGAAAATTAACTGGATTCTACAGAAACAGGACTGAGCACATCCATTCATCCAACAGAAATTCCACCTAAATCAATTATATTGTTTCTTTAAAGAGTCTTGCCAACTTTCTATTAAAAAAACCACCAACGCTTCGTATTTTTGCCAGTTTTTATTTATGCAATTAAACTGCCTTTTTGAAAGAGCTGGGCTAGAGAAACAATATATCTTTTACAAGCTCATTAGTTTATAGTCAAGCTGCATTATACCATAATCATTCACAGGAGTTAGCAGTGAGAATGTTGCTTCTTTGTGCCATGAGAATGTAAAGGAAATAAGTACTCACAATAGGCTATAAAATGTGTGATGTACAGAATGCCCGAAATCAGTGGTAAAGCCAGTGAGTTCATCTGGCTTTCATTGTCTCTGGAAAAACATTAACAGTTGTATAGACACAAATCTAGCTTTAATTTAGAAGCCCTATATTTAATTATTAATCTTCAAGCTTCCACCCTTTCCAAACTCCACTCCCCTACAAGAAGCAGAACCACAGTTGTTAAAGACTCATGGGAGAGCATAAGGCTAGGATCATTTTTCCAGTGTATGCTTGTAACAGCTTCCTTTAAATATTTGTCCTCTTATCTAATGTCGTATAGACCTGTGTCAGGTCAGATCCATACATTACCTCAGTCCTAAACTATGGGAAGCCACAATGCCCTGTACAGGGGAGCTGGGCCCCAAGAGCTGGCCGATCTCAGGCACCCCAAAAATCATCCCCCTGAGCACTCTTAAAGGTGGTCCAAGGATCTCATTCTGTGCCTCTGTCCATGTGTAACTAAGCTTGGGGAGCCAAAAATAAAGCTGCTACAACAAAGCCCGATGTGTGCAGCTTTGGGAACGCACAGATGAATTATGCGGACACTGGTTGGGAGGGGGGTCGGCTAGAAAAGGGTAAGCGTTCATGTGAGGATATTAATGTGGAATTTCAGGAACTAAAGGGGCACAGAGAGATCCCTTGAACGTTTTTTCTTGTTAAGCAGCTTGAGGTCCCTGTTCCCTCTCCACGGAAACCTGGGCTGCCCAGAACCTGGGAGTCAATTCTTTTCTCCCTGGGACTCTCAGCGACCTGCTTCCCTCGGGCAGGTACAGCTGGAGCCTAGAAACGCCCAGAGCTCGGCGGAAAGCAAAGCGCATTGCTGGACCCAATATCCCCCCATCTCCGCCACAAAGACCCCCAGCTCCCCAGCGCCTGGGAGCTGAACCCAGGAGGCAGCGTCCCAACCGCAGGCGGCGCCCCACGCGAGGGCACCCCGAGGAGAGCGCGCGGTCCCCGAGAGCTGGCGGTGCGCACTGGGGAGCTGGCGCCCCACGATTCCAGCGCGGCTGAGAGCGCAGGGCGCCCCGACCCTTCCGGCCCTGCGCCCAGGTACCTCGCAGCCGTACAGCTGCCCCAGCTGCTCCACGATCCACTCCTCCAGCACCAGCCGCTTGCGCAGCTCCTTGCGGTCGTATTTCACCGTCACCTTCCCCTGCTGGTGGCGACGCTGCTGCTGCTGCTGAACCTGCCCGGCCGCCGCGGGCACCGGCGCCGCCGAATCTTCCCGGGAGGAGCCCGGGCTGCCGCTGGCGCCGCCCCGGGGGCTCTGGAAGAAAACGCGCGTGCCGTTGCCCCCGCCGGGCCCGCCGGCCGCCTCGCTGCCGCCGGTCACCACCGACATGGCCCTGCGCCGGAGCCCAGCGCGGCCCGGCCGCTACCAGCGCCCGCGCGGCCGCCGCATGCGAGGGGCGCGGGCACCTGCTCGGCGCGGCGCGAGCTGCGGGCTCGGGGCGAGGGCGGGGAGGGAGCGACGCCCGCGAGGGCGGGACCGCGGCCTTAAAGACGCCGCCGCCGCCGCCGAGCACCGCACCGGCTGTCGGGTCGCGGGAGGCGGGATCTGGCCCCGCCCCGGAGGGGCCCGGGGCGTGAGAGGCGCCCGTGGAGGCGGGGAGTGCGGGAGCGTGGACGGTGGGAGGCGCTGGCGCGAGTCCGGGTGCCGAGGCACGGTCCTCTGGCGGGGTCGTGGTCTCTGGTCTTGCAGACGGAAGGAGCGCTCCTCCAGCGGTCGCTCCACTCCCACCCCAAGCGACCACCAAGGAAGGGATGTGGGAAGGGACGCTAGGTTCCTCGCCCAGGCTTTCCTTGCCTCTTGGAAGGCACAGCGGGGCGAGTAGGGGTCTCCCCACCGGCGATTCCTAAGGCACATTCCTATTCTTGCCACGATGGATGCCACCTCCTCTCTCCAGGATTGTGATAAAAATTGATGTTTGTGCAATCAGGCAATCACACATCTGGGAAGTTATTTCCACACCAATTTTTCTTTCCTTACCAAGCGTCTTTTTGATCACTAAGGTGTCTTTGTAGCTAAAAGGGCAAGGAGTGTGGTCAGCGCCAGAGCTGAGGGGCTAAGGGCTTCCTGACCCTAAACATGTCTCTAAAAGGGAGGGCTTGCTGGGTTTAAAAATACCATCTTGTTTTCCTACTCAACCAGCTCTCCCTCTCTTTTTACCCAGGAAACCAACTGCACTAACAACTCTCCTTGAAAACCATCAAGCAACAAAGTGGAATTTGGAATGAATGGACTCATTATAACATTTAGGGTAAAGAGGTGAGTGGGCAGTGAAGTTATAAACAGACAACTGCATGTGTATGTGTGTAAAATTGCAGAGAGACACTAACGTGTTTCTGTTGTACATAACAATACTTTTCTGTACATGCAACTGAAAGAAACCACAAAGATGTTTGGAAATGAGTAGTTTCTATGAATGTTAAAAAGAGCTGGTAAAGTCTTCTTGTAGTTAGTCAAAGAAGTTTCTCAGAACTAAAATAGCCAACCAAATCGATTTCCTCTGAAAACTTTCTTGGTGGAAGGAATTCTGCGTAAGATTCCAGCCTAACAGCTATGAAGACACCAAAAATAAAAGAAGAAACCAGATGGCAAGGGCTCTGTCATTACCAAGTGTTCAGGTCTTCTGATCATTTACAGGACTGCCTTTCTTTGCTCCTTTTGGGGTTTTCCAGCAAGCGCCTGGAGTAGGGATTTTTCCAAGATTTTCCAGGAGGCCTGCAGCTCAACAGTTCAGGCTTTGAAGAATGAACAAAAAGGACCTAGGGGAGGATTGTGTGGAACAGGGGGACACAGGGATGCTGATACTGTTCTTGGACTCCTGTAATAATTAAAAGAAGTTTAAGGTTAAAGGATCACCTCTCCACCCCAAAGAAGAGGCTAGCTGTCTTTTAGAAGCTGAATTTTTCTACAAATCTATTAGGAATAAGGAAAGTAAATTACCATGATTGGCTCCGGCCGACAGATGACCATTTTCTATATCTCTGCCCCATTTGCCTTGGTACGATAGATCATTTTAAACCCTGAATGCATAGCAAAGAGGGTGAGCACTGTCAGAAGCAGTATCCCCACACATAGGATAAGCTTGTCTCTGTCCAGACAAGTGCCACCTCACATTGGCTAGCACCAGCCTTAAGCCATACACTAACCAGGAGAATTTAAATCAAAACCATAGTACCTAAGACTTTAATTAAAAAGGAGAAACTGTATAAAATCTCTGCCTTGTGGCACATCGATCAATAATAAACCAATTACTTTGAAAACTCTGCCTGTGATCTGGCAGTGTGGCAAAGTGTAAGAAATTCCAATTCCTTGCTTGGAGTCCTTGGACAATGAAGCCAGTCATTCAAGAATAACTTCAAACAATTTCTGCAAATTCACATAGCTCTTTCTGAGGAATTCTTTTTTTAAAAAATTATTTTAAAGGTAATAAAACCAAACAAAATAAAACAATAAAGTCAATCAAATCAAAACAAGGAAAGTGATACAGAATTCAAAACAAGATAATAGGAAATCAACAGTGGCTACCATAATGCTTCTTATTATCTTCAAAATAGCTGCCCATATCATCAGACATCATAAAGTCAACCACAGAAAAATAGAATAAAGTCAATCAAAACAAAACAATGAAAGCAATACAGGACTTTGAATATAATAGGAAATTGACAGTGGCTACCATAACATAGCTTGTTATCTTCAAAATAGCTGCCCATATCAGATATAGTAAAATCAAACCAAACAAAATGGAAAAAAAACAAACAGGTCAAAACAGGGAAAATAATACAAGACTTCAAAACAAGATAAAGAAATTAACAATGGCTCCCATAGAAACTCTTATTATCTTCAAAACAGCTGTCCAGACCATTAGACATAGGCACGTAAAATTAACCAGTCAGTACAAAAACTAAGTTGCTTGTTTACTTCCGTTGTTATCTTTTCAGAAATTGCAGGTATGTGAACTCTAATTTGTACTATATCTGTGTCATCTGAACTTGTTCTGTGTGGGCTGGAGTTCTGAGATTGTGCCTTGCTCTTTCATCTTGACTCCGAGGAACTCTTTGTTGAGTTTTTGTCACTGCATAGATTATACTTTCATTTGTGCTTAAAACAGCTTTCACTTAAAACTTCAAAAATGATAGGTACTAGAAGACCTAAGTTTTCAGTTCCTGGACTTGTAAAAAAAATAGTCAATGAGTAGTTAGTCACTTTCCAAGGACATGTTACCTTCAAGTACCCAAATGAATCACCTGGACTTGAGAGTCCTCTTTCTACAGGCCCACTTGCTCCAGCTGGGCTGTACGTAACTACTTACAACGGAAGTGAATTCTGTGGTCTGTCTCTCAAATACACATGCTTCATTCCATGTTCCAAAAAGTAAACTTCAATGTTCAAGTCTTTTTTTTTTATTTAAGGAGAAAAGAAAAGAAAGAAAAAAAAACAGTGAAGGGGTACAAGTTATACAGATTTACAGAAGAAAAATATGTGCAGTAGGAAATCACTAGTTAATGGATTACATTTTGCCATCTTAGAAATAATTGTTCCAGTCACAAAATTAAAGCTTGTAGAGTGGACATTCCAACAATGATACTGCAAACAGTTCTGTTCAATGATCCAATAAAACTCTGTGATATCATTTTCTATCTTATGCATTTAAATATACATGCAGTTATATAGTTTAGAGCACTTTCTTTTCCTCTCTTTTGTACAGTGACTATTACACATTTTGGGTTTCATTGCTCCCACGGTTCGTATTGCTTTTTTGGAAGAGAGTAAAACCAAATGTGACATAACAGAACAGAATCGGTCAAGTCAAAAGGGTGGACATAATAGATAATGTAAAAACATAATACAAGGTGGTCAACAATGGTTACCATAATGCCTCCCGCTATCTCTAATAGAATTGCCTATATCATTAGTTATAATACAATTGAACAAAACAGTAAAGAACAAAACCGACAAAACCAAAACATTGGAGACATTGTAGGTCTTCAAAAGTAGATAAAAGTCAACGAGAATGGGCATTATACTGAATCTCATTATCTTCACAGCTGATGCCTAAACTTTCGAACCTGATACTATCCAGCAAAACAGAATAGAGGAACCTCATTCAAAAACAAGATGGTGAGAGTAATACAGGGCTTCAAATCGAGATAATAGAGAGTCAAAGTGGGTTACTATATTATATCCTGCTATATTTTTCCCTTTAATTAAATGGATAAAAATAAAAAAGTAAATAATGGAGTGGAGATGGAGAAAAAAAGAGGGCATAACAGCGAAACAGCGCAGATCAAAACATAACCATTTAAGCAGAATAGTGTTTCACCACCAGATAATCCTGACCCAAAAATAGTTACCATATTGACTCCCTCCCTGAAGTCCTTGAGTACAACTTCATATACTGTAGCATTAAGTATATCAAAACAATGTAAAACCATTTAAGAGAATGACAGCATTATAGAGTATTTAGAATCGACTAACAGAAAATGAACAATGGTCTCTGTATAATCTCCTTGTCTTTAAAAGGTTTTTGCTTATACTATCGTACATAACAAAATCCAATAAGATACAACCTGTTTAGACCATTGGAGACAGAAGAACAAAAGCTAGATGAGACTTCAAAACAAGATGGTACTAAATCAGCATTACCTATTAAGATGTCATTTTCTCCAAAAAAAAGCTGTTCCTATCATCCAATCTTCTCTGTCTCATTTCTGTTGAGCTCTTTTTCTGTCAGTAGCTGTCAGTTTGTCTTCTTCATTTTGTTCTCTGCTCCATTTGTTGTGGCCTCCCCGCCACTATTTCTGGGTTCTTTGTATTTTCCTTTTTTTAGAATATCCTGCAATACTTTCTGTAGGGTTGAATTGGTGGTTGCAAATTCCCCCAGTTCCTCTTTATCCTGGAAGCACCTCGTTTTTCCATCAATTTCCAGGGACAGTTGTGCAGGATATATCAATCTTGGCTGGAGATTATTATCTTTCAAAGCTTGAATTATTTCTCCCCATGCTCTTCGTGATTTGATGGTTTGTGAAGAGAAATCTGCTGTAATTCTGATGGGTATTCCCTTGTAAGTGATCTGTTTCTTGTCTCTTACAGCTTTTAATATTCTGTTCTTGTATTGAATTTCTGGAATTTTTATTATTATATGCCTGGGTGTTTCTCTGTTAGGGTTGTAGGTAGCTGGGGTCCTGTATGCCTCATACATCTGAGTATCTTTACCTTTTGCTAAATTAGGAAAATTCTCCTGGATTATTTCTGTGAGTAGCTTTTGTAGTTCACTTGTTTGTGTCCCTACTTCTTCTTTTATGTTCTTAATCCTTAAGTTATGGCTCCTCTTATCATCTTCTTGTCTTTGTATTATTGCTGTTTGTTTCTTTGTTATTTTTAAGAAGTTTTTCATTTCATTCTCCCATGTTTCAAGTTTGCCCTCCAGTTCAGATA